AATTAGGATCATGCATGGATTTCTAATTAGCTTTTGTTTTGGCTTGGAGTACTCGGTAAGTTTTATGCTTTAGCATCCTTGCATGCGTGTGAGTGACTGCCATGATAGCATGCTTACCATGAGGCTAATTGCTTATGTGATATATCTGCCTGAATGCCTGTGGGTGAAGGTTGGGTTATTTGGATGGAACAATTCATCAAATGTGTGTTTTAAGCCCACTAGATAGTGGCAAAATCATGTTTTCTAAGCCCATCGAGGGTGGCAAAATCTACATTTTAAGCCTACTTGCGAGTAGCAAACCACTTTCAAATAAACAAACACGAGATGTTTTGTTCCAATTCAGACGATCCAGTCTATACTTGTATGCTGTACGCATCACATAGTAAATCTAGGCTAAATAACGGAATAAGAACGCATAATGTTTTCAAAATTTGATATCATGGTTAGTAGAGGCCGTTTTTTGATCGGGCGAGCGGGGGTGCTTACGAAGTGACCTTCCCCAATCGTACCCAAGTTCCCGAGCCGAGGCAACTTTGGTGATGACGGACACGTGGCCTTAGGCAAACGAGTCAGGGTTTCCTAAATTTTTCCAAAATAAAACATTTAGGTGGCGACTCTGTATCTGGCAAAGCAGTCCATGTTTGGCACTTCTTTTAAAATCTGTTTTCTCAAAACGATTTGCCGGATTTGGACTCTTTGGTTTAGATTTAGAACCGTGACAATTTGAGAGTCCTGAACTGTAGTGAGCCCAATATGAACAGAACGGAGGAACAGGACTCCGTCCTCCCGGGGCGTTCTGGGACGTCTACAGCGCCGAGCCCGGTGCATGCAATACAGATGAATGAATGCAAACATGCTATCATACTGTATGCTAATTGAAACATGCCTTAATATAACCATCATAAGCTGGTAAATAAAAGGGAGAAAGACGTGGGATTGGAAGACATACATCACACACACACACACTTATTACAATATTGCCCTCGCGCAGAGGGTCCGAATAAATAATACAGTCCCAAATGAATAAACAATACAATCCCGAATAAATACAGAATCCTAATTAATTAACAAATTAATCTAGGAAAGCAGTAAGTTGGCACGCAAATTCATGGACCGACTCGGCTCTGTTCCAAATGATGAATAATGCATGCTCGGGTTGCCTTGTGCGAAGAATCCCTTGCGATGTCCTGGTTTGCCTCTGTTTGTAACTATTCTTGGGATGCGTGCCAGGTTCCGGAAGGTTGCTGATTTCTGATTTGTTGCAACACAGAGCAACAAAGGGGCATGGCAAAGTATTTTCACATATGTATGCATGACTACTCTTCAGGGAGTGTAGTCCTCGATTTTCGTGCCACTAATCACGCATCTCGATGCATGATGGCCGAGAAGTCGAATTGCATGACTCAATATGAAATGAATGCACATATGGACACAACAAGGCCTAGACTCCATCATGGATAATCCGGAGTGTCGATGACCGGGAATTGAGACACGTTTCGTCACTCGGAGTACGAAATGTCCCTTGTTTCCCGTGCTTGGGCTAAAACCTATCCCAAGCACAATGCAATATGCATGACATGCATGAATGCAATCCTAACATGCAACCTAGCATACTCAATGCTATGAAATGGCACACACAATGCACGATGTAACGAGGCATACACAATGCTCTAACATACAACTTTGCATACGCAATGCTATGAAATGAAATGGCATACACAATGCATAATGGACTTACACTAACATGAGTGGACCTCAGCCACACTCACATCAGAGCCATTAGGTGAAAATGAGACTCTCGAAATGCGTGCACGCATGCACACAAACCGAGGACCGAACTTAAGGCATAACATGTAACTCTAACAAGGCATGGCAATGGATGCAAGATGGCATGCAAACTCACAAATTCTAGCACTGAAATATGATGCTAAACAGTCCCGAAACATGGAAAAATGGCACCCGATGCATGAGATGAAACCTGAAACTCGAAACTAGGCACATGGAATGACTTATAGCTATACAAAGCATGCATTATTTGATCATGAAGCATGAAGACAGAGCCAAGGCAGTCCCAAAACATGGATATTTCCAGTTTAAAGCATGGCCAAAAGATGCTAGAATGGTGGATAAAATAGCATGCAATCTTTACTAGCAATCATGGTTTACATGGCAAGTATATGAAGCAAATGTAATCTCACCAAACCAACAAAAATCAGTGAATAAATCATGTAAAAATAGGTCCAAATAACCACTCATATGCAACCATGGTATGCAAAAATAATGAGTTACTTTGGAGGGCCATGCGAGGAGTTATTAAGCACATGCAAGGTAGACATTTAGCATGGCATAAACAACTATGAAAATCAAATATGGTAGTCCTAAAACTCACCAAATTGACCCTGGAAAGTGACTTCGAAGCATGCAAGGTAGAGTTTCTTTAGAAGGCCAAAAAGGTCACCAAACAAGAGAAGGAGAGAGGGGGTCACCCCCCTCTAATCTTGGCTCTCAAAAAAGTGTTCCGGTGGCTAGAAGGCCAAACAAAGCATGCAATTGGGGCTTAGGTGTAAGGCTCAAAACAAGGGACAATCAAGCATACAAGGAAGCATGTGACCTCAACTAAAATAATGCCCTCAATAAAACATGAAGATGATGTCAAAACAAGCCTTTTTCCAGTTTATAACAAGTCTAAAAAATGAACATAAATAGGGCTAATCTATCATGCAAAAATGGCCCTAAAAGAGAGAATAGAGACAAGGGACAGCCGCTGGCCCCAAACAGTGAAGAGCCCTTCAACAAAGTTGAAGAGGGGCTCAAAATGAAGCACTTTACAGTTTACATCAAGTCTCGAAAATGAACAAAGTGAGGCTAAATCAGCATGCAAGAAAAAGGCCTAAAAGAGGGATAAAGAGGCAAATGGTAGCAGCTGACCTCAAACAAAGGAGAGCCCTTCAACAAAGTTGAAGAGGGGCTCAAAACAAGACATTTCACAGTTTATGACCAAGTCCAAAACAGCTCACAAATAAGCCTAAAATATCATGCAAAAATAGGCCTAAAAGAGAGTTTAAACACAAAGGGGGAGGAAGAGACCTCAAACAGCAAGAGGTCCTTGATCAAACATGAAAAAGAGCTCAAAATATGACTATTTACAGTTCAGGTCAGAGCCCAAAAACGTAAGAAACAAAGGCTAAGATTGCATGCAAAATAGAACAAAAAGAGAGAGAAAAGAGACTTACCCTTGTAGCCTAGGTTTCCATAAGCTTTTGGTCCAAGAAATGGTGCTCCCAGCCTCTGGAAATCAGCTTCAAAGGGTTGGAATGGAGGGTGGAGGTGTGGTGCTATGAATGGTAGTGTAAAGGGGGCAAGAACCTTAGGGTTTGGAAGAGAGGGAGAGGGAGAGTTGTATGCAAGGCTCAAAACAATTTTTGTAACCCCCAAACATGAAGGACGGGTGCTGGTTATATAGAGGAGGAGAGTGGAGGAATGGGGGGGAAAATCAAATTCAAATTTCCCCTCCCCCAAAAGGCAGCCCCCCGGATGCAAAATCTGGGGGAAAACAGAGGGTACAACTGGAAGGCACTTGGAGAGAGGATTCTGGCCGGCCAGGTTCAAAAGGTTCAGGTGGCCGACCGGCCATCCCCCCTGGCCGGCCGGCCAGGGGTCAAAAGGGTGAATGAAAATTGCTGGCTTCCCATCCCAAAAAGGTGGCCTCCCATGTGTGCACAACACAAATATGTGGTCAAAACCCAGAAAATGTGAACTAGGAGAGAAAAAAGTCAACTTTTTAGAGGGGTTCAAAAGGGTCAAGGACAATTACTGGCCGTCCTATACATATTGGTGGCCTCCCAGGTGTGTACAACACAAATATGGGGTTTAGGGCTAAAGAAAGTGGCCCCGGGTTGGTCAACATTAGCTTTTTAGTGAGGAAAACAGGCGACGGAGAGCGATGAAGAAATAAAACTGGCTTTTCAGAAAAATTGCTGGCCTCCCACCCTCCTACAAGCTTTCTAACAATGAAAATAAGGTCTCCACCAAAAATGAACCAAAACGGATGCAAAACGGAGGTTCGGGGACCGAAACGCGCGGCCCGAGGTCCCAAAAATGGGCTGTTAAGCACCGGAGGTGGCATTCGACCACGAAGTTGGTCTCTCAGGCCATATTGTTCCTCAAAAGGGAGGAAATAAGGTGTATACCAAACACCGGAGCAAACGGAGGTAGTTAGACGGTCCCGAACCGAGGCACACGGCCGACGGCTCCGAAAATCGAAAATCGGGCGCCAAACGAGAAAAATGGCCTACGACCACGAAACGTAGCCTACGGCCACTGAGAGATTATCTACGAGACCTCTCCCTCCCTCCGGGAAGAGAAAACAGAGAAAACAAGACCTGGTTCGCAAACCGAGGCAAGGCACAAGAAAAGAGCTTTGAAGTCCGGAGGCAAGGCTCGCAGCCGAGACTCTGAAACTTCATAACGAACACAACATGCAACATCACCGAGCGCTCAATCAGTGACGTCTAAGTCTTAAGGTCGGTCAAAAATGGGGTGTCTACACCTTCATATAAATACTCATTTCATTAGTGACCAAATCTTGAACAGTGACATCCGGGACCAACCTTTGCATGCATTCATAAAACCCATTCATCACTTCATGATCTCTTTGTACCTCTAACGCTTTTGGGTAAAAGAATTCTGGGTTAAGAAAATGAACAGCTGCATGTAAAGGTCGATGCAATTGGACATCCCATCTTTTGTCAATGATTTCGAAGTTTTCATTATACTTCTCTTCTTTATGATCAAATGAACTTGTAATGCATTTTTTTGCCCTATCCATTGTCTCATAAATGTATCCCATGGGAGGTTTCTTCTCGGTATCAATCAATCTAAGCACTTTGACAAGAGAACCCACGACCGTAAGGGCAAACACAACAGTATTCCAAAATGAAGCATCAACAAAGTTTGTGCCATTCTTTTACCTTGTGGCTCCTTTGCCCGTTTGATTGAGGTCCAGTCTTCGGAGGTGACCATCTTTCTCAAATTGTTTTTTTGTTGATGCATCCTAGATAAAGTCAAAAAGGCGGTTGCAAATCTAGTTTTGCAGACTTGATCAAATTCTTCAAATTTGTATAGCGCCTCATCATGTTTAGCAACGTAGGCTGATTGTAAATGTAGCCATGTACTGCAATACCCCTTTTAAATGTCTTTTTCAGTCTAGGTATCTTGAAAATGTCTTCTAACATCAAGTCCAAACAATGAGCAGCACATGGTGTCCAATACAAGTGTTCATACTTAGCTTCCAAAAACCTCCCTATAATGTAACAATAATGAAGAATTATTATTTTCAAGTTTTTAAATTTTAAATACAAAACAAACTATGAGTAAACAATTTTGATGTAAGGAATGAGGAAATATTCTTACCCGCCAACACATTAGCTGCAGCACTATCAGTGATAACTTGCACCACATTCTCTTTTCCAACTTTCTCCACAAACTTGTCTAGTAATTCAAATAGCTTTTGCCCATCCTTTGAATAGCTAGAAGCATTAACTGACTCAACAAACATGGTTCCTCTTAGACAATTAACTAAAAAGTTAATCAATGTCCTTTCTCTCTTATCAGTCCAACCATCAGCCATTATGGAACACCCGTATTTTGCACAATCCTCTTTATGATACTTCATCAAATCTTCAGGATGTTTCACTTCCTTTTTGAGTTGGGTAACCCGCACTTCATGGTAAGTCGGTGGCTTCATACCAGGACCATATTGGCCAATGGCTTCAATCATTGGTCCAAAACTCTCATAATTTACTGCATTAAAAGGGATACCAGCATCATACATCCACCTTACAAATCTTTGCAGTGCCCGAGCTCTCATTTCTTTTTTGTAAGGGTCATTTGCATCAATTTTGGTTTGTTTCCCTTTTGATTGGTCTTTTCGATTTTTCACCACTGATTCAGGATTGGGTGTGAAGTAAACATCCATAGGCCCTTTTCTCTTTGGCATTTTTTATTTGGATTTGGATTTGGATGAACCTTGGCTACTACTTGTCAACTTGCAGTGTTGATTGACATTGATCTCAACGACATCATCATCTTCATCTTCATCTTCCATGTCCATGTCATCGAAATCAGGCAACATGTTCATTTCTTCTTTTTGTGTCTTTTTTTTGGATATGAACTCTCTAATCTCTTCTCTTACATGAGAAGGATACTTCGGGCAAGCAGTGACATTCTTATAACCTCCCGCAAGGTGTTGTTTCACCCGATAAACACCTCCATTTGATACTTTACCACAAAAATTACACTCAAACTTGTTTAAATTATTCTCCTCCACCAAATGGGCATATTGCCACGCCGGATCTTTTCTATTACTTTCCGATGTCATTTTCTACTTAGTAATAGTACTTACTACACAACACAAAAAATAAATAACAGAAAAACAATTTCAGTATAATGAATGTAATGTATACCACAAAAATTACACTCAAACTTGTTTAAATTATTCTCCTCCACCAAATGGGTATATTGCCACGCCGGATCTTTTCTATTACTTTCCGATGTCATTTTCTACTTAGTACTTGCTACACAACACAAAAAATAAATAACAAAAAAACAATTTCAGTATAATGAATGTAATGCATGTTATGTGATGAATTAATTAATGTATGTAATGTATGAATTAATTAATGTTATGAATCAATTTTCTATTTTCTTAATTAATGGTGAATTAATTAATTTCAGTATAATGATGAATCAATTTCAGTATAATCATAATGAATGTAATATATCTATTTTTTTATTTATGTATGTATGTATGAATTAATTAATTTATTTGTTTTTGTAATATGAAAGTCAAATAATTGAAAAAAAAAATTATTTATTTATTTATTTATCATAATCAATTTCAACTTCGCATTTTTTTTCAGACTCAACTCAAATAATTGAAAAAAAAAGAAAAGAAAAGAAAAAGAAGCCAAAATAGATCAGAGTTATGAAAGTCGAAGAAGCAAAACAGATCAGGGTAAAAAAAAAGGAGTCGAAGGCAAAAAATAAAGGTGAAGAAGTCGATCGAAGACGAAGAAGAAGGAGAAGGGGAGAGAGAGTCGAACCTGTGAAGCCGATCGAAGTCGAACCTATGAAGTCGATCGAAGTCGTAGTCGCAGAGGAAGAGGAAGAGACTTCTTTTTTTTTTTGATAGAGAAGAGACGACTTCAATTAGGGTTATCGAGTCCTATTTCGCTCATATGGTACATGAGTCGTAATCCTTTGTGATTACGAGCCATTCGAAAGGTTCATCTGAGTCGTTAGATCAGATCTACAACTTGAACACTCAGTCGCGCCTAAGCGATCACCTTGCGCCTCTCTCGCCTTGCTCAAGTCGCAGCTAAGGCGATCGTCTGGCTCAAGTCGCCTTGCCTGGTACCTGTACAGGCGCAGATGCTACGCCTCGACTCGCCTTGCGCCTAGCCGTGCCTTTGGCAACACTGGGGAGTAGCACATATGGGTTTCTGGTCTATTTTTTTTGAACTGATGTTTCAGTTAGTATGGGTTCTTGAAGGACTAATATGTATATATTAATCTATGTTGTATGTATTCAGATTGAACATCAAATAGAGCAACTAGATTATGTGTTTGAATTTCTACTTATTATTAGGATTACTTTTATAGCAACATCAATTTATTAGCAACATCAAATAGAGCAACTAGATTCATTTGTTGTATGTACTCAGATTGAACATCAAAATTTTTATTTTATATATATTCGAGTATGCAAAACTAATGATTAATTTGAAAAGATTATTTAATTTTGAGATTTATATGTTTTTTTTATAATTTTAAATTGGCCAATATTTAGTCAATACTAATGATCAATTTTATTTTATTTTATTTTATTTTTTTTTTTTGCAGATGTTCTTGACGTATAAATGTGTATATGACTTTTTTTGACAAGTACGGAAAGGCATTGTTTTTATACCTGTGTCCGTATACATAGTGGTTCGTACAAATTACTTTTTTAGCATGGTAAATATATAAAATTTGGTCTGGTAGAAATTAGCATTGGACGTGGTACACGTTAGTTTTTGGAGCGGTGGTACAGATTTCTTTTTGTATATTAAATTTGGTTAATCCTCTATTATGTATGGAATTAAATTATTGAGATTGGATTATGCTTGGTTTGTATGGAATTTGTATTACATTTAGAATTGGACATTCAATAAGAATTTTTTGGATGGTTGGAAGTGAAATGTGTGCACATTATTGAATGTTTGATAATATATTTAGTATTGATGAATTATATTGTTTATACAGGGTACATGTTGCACTAATAATGGATACAGGTGGTTCAGAATTTAAAAAAAAAAATTAATATAATATTTGGCGACTAAATATGTTGGTAGCTAAAAATGTAAACAAATATTTTGGCGACTGGTAATTTAGTAGCAAAAAAGAACCAAATGGCATTTTGCGATCAAACAGTTAGTAGCTAAAATAAATCAGAATGAGGGGAAGAAACTATTGCCGACTAAATATTTTAATCACGAAAAACACGATATCCTTTGACGACTAAAATGTTTGGTGGTAAAAAATAATGTAATGAAAATGAAGACACTTTTGGCGACTAAAGTTTGTAGTCAGTAAAAGTAACAACGACTAAACTATTTGGTCGCTAAATGTATGTATTCTATTGGCGACTAGGTCTTGTTTGGCATGATCTAAAAAAGTCAAAAAGTTACTATTCTATTTAAGTCACATGATCTTATTTAAGTCACATCACCTCTCTAACACATCACTTCAAATACAACCCATATTTCATAAAAAATTAAAAAGTGCACTTATTTAGATCATCCCAAACTACCAAAAAATTCATACTGAATTTTAGTTTTATGTGAGAATAAAAGATCACCTTTGTCGACTAACCAAAGTTTAGTAGCCAAACGTTCAATTTCGGCAACCAATAATTTAGTCGCCAAAAGATCACCTTTCTCGACTAACCAAAGTTTAGTTGCCAATCATTCAAAAGAAAACTTTTGCCAACTAACCGAAGTTCAGTAGCCAAACGTTTCACTTTCGACGATCAAAAATAGTTTAGTCGCCAATACTATCGCTGACAATGTATAGGCGATGACCTTGGCGACAAAAAAATTTAGTCGCTAATTAGTTTCGGCGACCAAAAATGAAACTTTTGATAACCAATATTTTGGTTCCCAAAACTGTCATTTCCTGTAGTGCCAATTAGCCAAAGCCTGGATCACATTAGCTACCTTGTCAAGGATGAGGAAGCTACAAGAGGGATAAATGGGAAGCATTAGGAATTCTGAAGAAGAGGAATTGGGGAAGAGAGAAAAAGTTGCTGAAATTACAAATTTGTGAAACCCTCAACTAGTGACTTCAAGTTTTCAAGTCAACTACCATGATTGCTGGTTATGGCCAAGGCTCGGTGCAAAGTAAAATCTATGAGCGGTTGATCTGACGCTACAGAGAGAGGACTCATGTTAGATTTTATTAAGAATGTGAAATTTTGTTGTCATTGTATATTTGCTTGCCAGCATGACTGATAAGAATATGCAATTGGACTTTCAAATCATCTTTACTATCATTGAGGTCAATTGCGCGCAAAACCAACTGAGCCTGCATCAAAAGTTCCCATTGAGCTTCTTTTTTTGGGGACGACTTTGTTAGGTATGTGTTGTATGATGCTTGTTGGTGAATTGGTTATGGTTTAGGATACCACAGTTGTCTATAGTGCATTTCGTAGTCTTGGTTAGGTTACATTCATGTCTTTTTTTGCCATTATCTTTGCCAAGGCATATGTCCTCTGTAATATCCTCTGTTTTGGTATTGTTTAGGGGACAAACACGAATATTTGGATATGTCTAATCATTTGGATAAACCTCGTGATTACATGGCATAGACTAACAACCTCAATTTAGCTGCCATTTGTTGACTAATCACATACAAAATTAAAAATCTAACAATTTTATTGCTAGCAAATTAGTAAGTAAAGAGAAAGTTGATGTTCTTTGATGGTCTTCCCTTGAATATATATTATTGCAATGTGATCGTCATCTTTCAATAAACCCAGGTATTCTATCCATGGAGGTGGAGGTGAATGTGTCACTCGCCAAGGACAGACCGATGACAAGACTGATCGGGGCCCGGCCCGCTGATTTTTTTTTTAAAAAATAATAGTACTTTTGAACCTAATATGTAATTGCCCCCAACCAAGATGAAAATTGAAATATAATACTAAGAAAAAAATTTATTTTTTCATATTGAAAATTGTCAAAACTAGATTTCGCAACCGAATGGAGAATTAATTTTTTTATTGACTCTTTGCCTGTGTACATTTGTTAGTTGTTATCTATTCCTATTATACTGAGGACTCTTGGGCCCCGTTTGTTTTGGGAGATAGAATGGAGGAGATTAATAGTGAAGGGATTGTTAGTGAGGGGATTGATAGTGAGGAATTGTTAAATTATTTTTATATAAAATAATAAAACAAATAAAAATTATAAAAATTAAACATTAATATTTAAAAAAAATTTCCAATATATAAAAGATAAA